CTTCACCCCAAGGCAGGGTCGCAGCTGGGGGGTCAGGGCGGAGAGTCTGTGGCCCTGGAGTGGGCGGCAGGACCTGAAGGCCCCCCCTCCACTCTGCCCAGGTGGGCCGGAGGCCCTGCAGACCTCGGGCCCCACCTCACCCTCCACCTGCCCTGTCCAGGGTCATTACTGAGATGCTCGGTCCCTGAGTCCAGCGTCCCTCAGAGCCAGGCCCAACCCAGCCGCGGGGGCTTGACCCGAGACTCTGCCCCTGCCCAGATTACAGCAGAGCTGGACACACACCATACTTGGGGGGCTGGACGGGACCTGCACGTGCTGCCCCTCCGGGAGGCTCCTGGTCCCTCCGTGACACGATGTCCACAGCCCCGCCCCGCTCGGCTGTTGTGCCAAAGCCCACCTTCAGACCTGTCTGCGGGGGGGCAGGACTGGGCAGTGGTCGGGGTCTGGTGGATGAGGTGAGGCTCGAGTGGGCGGGTCCCACGCGCTGTGCATTATGGGAGTCACACACGGACAGATGGGCAGACGGAAGCACAGACGGACGGACGGACATGCGGCCGCTCCAGCAGCTGGGCAGCACACCCCAGGCCCCGGGGGACGGTCTGGCCTGGGTCGGGGTCTCCCGCATACCCCAGGCCCTGGGGAACAGTCTGGGCTGGGTCGAGGTCTCCCCGCCTGCCCGGGCCACCCCCCAAGCACCAGGTAGACCCGGCACTAGGGGCGGGGTGGGGTGTTGGGGTCACCATGCAGAGAAGGAGGGTCTCTGTCTGTCTCCTGGCCCCCACGCTCACCCCAAGAGCGCGTCGCCCACCCCCCAAGGTTCCTGCCCCCAGCAGCCGGAGCTCCCAGCCACAGCAAGACTCAAGACAGACGTGCGGCCTTTAAATAGTTTAAGTGAAAAAAATGAGACGTTGAAGAAATGCTTGTGAGCTTGAGTTGGATTTTCCTCTCGGACCGTCCAATTGGCCGTGAACCCCGACCGCTATGGATGATTCCAGAGCATTCCGGAGTCCAGGTCGGGGTGAGGAATCGCAGAGACAGGGAGGGCCGAGTCCTGCGGGGAGCTGCCCACGCACGGGCTCTCAGATGCCACATCCCCAGGCGCTTGGAGCTGGGGTCTGGGGGCACCCAGGGAGGGGGCCAGTCCCAGGACGGGACAGACAGACAAGACAGACAGACCCCCGCACTCGCGGCCAGGAGGCAGCAGCCTGGGAGGCTGGCATGGAGTGTCCTGGAGACCCAGAGAGAACGTTCCAGAAAGGGGGGAGCGGGACCCCAGGTGGACCTAAGCCTTCCCAGGTGGTCTTCTATAAGGGGTCTCACGGCACGCCGCCTCCGAAGCCCCCGGGGCAAAGTGTCCCCCACACCCCGTCTTCCCATGGCGGCTGCTGCCCCGAACCATGCCCTGGACGATGTGGAAAGTTGCTTTTTCTCTCGCTGAGCAAAACCACCGACTTGCTGCTCTGACTCTGGCCCCTGGGGGCCCATCTCAGCCCGGCAGCATCCGGGCAGGGGGCCGGAGAGTCCCAGGAGGGGCCCAAGGCGGGGGGGGGGGTGGCTGGCGCAGGCCCAGAGGCCACTGTGCGGGGAGGGGCGGCTGGCCGGCAGGGTGGACAGACCCCCAGGAGCGTCCCAGCTGTCCTCCCCGGCGGCTCTGCCGGTGGCTCTGTGGGCGCTCCCAGCAATCCCTGTCCATTCCAGGTCGTGCCTGCCTTCCCCTCGGGCCCCGCACAGAGCCAGGAAGGGTGGCATTCAGCCCGGACAGACCAAACAAGGAGCCGAGCACGCAGAGGAGCCCCCCCACACACACAGATACACACACACACAGACACACACAGACACACACACACAGATACACAGATACACACACACAGACACACACAGAGACATACACAGAGACACACACATACACACACAGAGAGATACACACAGAGACATTCACAGAGGTACACACAGACACACACACAGAGACACACACAGAGACATTCACAGAGGTACACACAGACACACACAGAGACATACAGAGACACACACAACACACACACACAGAGACATACACACAGAGACATACACACACAGAGACACACAGACACACACAGAGACACACACAGACACATACACAGAGACACACACAACACACACACAGACACACAGAGAGACATACACACAGATACACACAGACACATACACAGAGACACATAGACACACACACAGACACACACACACGCACACACACTGTGCTGAGCAGGGTCGCGAGGACACCCGGCCACAGCGCAGTGCTGAGCCAGCGCTTCCCGCGGAGCCCAGGAGAGGGCTGGGGGCGCTACGTCCACTCCCAAGGAGTCGCCGCCAGTCGAGCCCCGAGACCTGCAGGCCCCTGGCCCAGACAGTCCCGGAAGCGTTGCCCGCTGCCCTCTCCTGGGGCACATGAGACGGGGTGGGCCGGAGCAAGCTCCTCACTCAGGACACGCCGATGGGCTGCAGGGGATGCAGTTGGGGGCATGGGTGTGGCACGGAGGCCAAATCCATTTGAAGACCGGGTTGACTGCTCTCCCGGGGCGCAGTGCTGGGTGACCTCGGGCGGGTGCGTGCCCTCTCTGATCCCGTCCATGCTCTGCCACTCAGACGTCCACCCCCGGGATCACAGCTCAGGCTGCAGAAGAGCAAGCGGTGTCCCCAGTCTGCTGTGGGGGCTCCCTGCCCCAGGACCCAGGCCTGGGCATGGTCCAGCTGTCCTCAGGGCCCACCTAGCAGGCAACGGGGTTGCGGGTACAAGTCAGGCGTCCTTTGGGGAAGCGGGCGGGGAGGGTCCCTGGGTGTCCCTCCATGGGGAGGACCAGATGGGGACCCCCGGAGGCCGACAAAGGCCCCCACAGTCTCTGCTCGTGGCTGCCCAGGCGGGACAAACCAGAGTCCCTAGGACAGCAGTCCGGGGTCCAAGGGGACTGAGGGGCCCCAGAGTGGCAGGACGGGGGCCCTTCTCCAGGCCCACGCCAGGAAGCAGCCGGGACCCCGAGACGGCGGCAAAAGGCAAGTCCAGGGCCAGAGCACTGGAGACAGGAAGAGCAGCCGGCTGTGTGTGCGGGTGGGGGCCAGCTCAGGAATGTGCCCCCACACGTGCACACCCTGTTTCTGCAAATATTTCTGTACACACCGTATACACGTATGCACCATGTATCATACATGACTGCCACACCACACATGCTTGCAGACCAACACCCTGTGCAGATAATGCCCACATGCACACAAATCCCCCACATGCATGTACACTCCGTGCACACGTGCATACACAAGCACACACATACGTGTACACTCCGTGAACACACACATGCACACACAGTCCGTGAACATGTGCATACATGCACACACACCCCTCACACATGCATGAACACTCTGTGCACACGTACATACACATGCACACACATATGTATACACCCCGTGAACACACACATGCATATACACTCCGTGCACACGTGCGTACACAAGCACACACATACGTGTACACTCCGTGAACACACACATGCACACACAGTCCGTGAACATGTGCATACATACACACACCCCCCTCACACATGCATGAACACTCTGTGCACACGTACATACACATGCACACACATATGTATACACCCCGTGAACACACACATGCATATACACTCCGTGCACACGTACGTACACATGCACACACATACGTGTACACTCCATGAACACACAGGACATGCGCAGAAACTCCTTGCACACGTGCATACACAGCGCTCACACGCAGCCCCCTCACACACATCCCACATACATGTGTACATACTCCATGTACACACACACACAGCGCCCCAGAAAGCTTCCTGTGTTCAGACCAGGCTTCCCTCCTGCTAGCTGCTGCCCCCACATGGGGTTCGAGAAAAGTGGGGGGCTGTCTGGAAAGTGGGTGTTCAGGAGCGTGAGACCCCCTGCCAGTGACAGAACATCTCCATGCTGAGCGCCCAGGGCAGGAGGCGGCAGGAGGGTGACCCCGGCGGTCACTGCCAACACCCAGCCAGTGGGTATTGGGGGTCGCGGGGGCCCAGGTGTGGGCGCAGGGAGCACCACCGAGCTAGGCCTCACTGGGGCCCCTGAGAGCCGCGTGCCAAGGGGGCCCCTGGGTTTCTCTCCCGATCACACCCAAGCAGTGAGGACCGCCAGCCCCCGCCCGGGCCGACCCAGCTGCCCGGCGTCCGAAGGTCCTGTGAGGTCAGGGCTGCAAGGACACTGCCCACAGCTCCGGCCCCACCCCGGAGCCCACGGGCGCAGGAAAGGCAGGGGACACACTGGGGGTGAGATCGGGCAAAACAGAACCCCAACTTCAGACACCCTCAATCCTCGGGCCCGGGTGTGGGTCCTGCAATGCTGCAGGAAAGGCGCGATCCGGCCTCCGAGGACACAGTTTCTCTCCGGGTGAGCGACCGCTTTTATTTTCCAATAAGAAACGGAACAAACTCTGGAGGAATCACACCAGGCGGACGTGGAATGCGGGAGCAGCCGGTGTGAAACCGCATCGTGTTCTCGTTAAACCCAGGCCGGTGGGGAGGAGCGTGGCGAGAGGACTGACGGGTGGACGGATGGACAGGACGGATGGACAGGATGGATGGACGGACGGATGGATGGGATGGACCGCCCGCGGGCACACACTGCTCGGAAGAGAGACTCAGAGGCACTGCCCGGGCGTGGAGGAGAGAGAGAGGCGGCGTCTCGGAGCGCGGACACAGTGAGACGTTCACGTTCGGGGGGGAGGGGGGGTTTAAGATCCTCGGACCCTGGATGGCTGATTCCTCCCAAGAAGTTCTGCAGATGGTGGGTGCTGTCACTGTTACTGAGACCCTGGCACCGTGCTCCCTGCCCCCACGGAGGAGCAGACGGGACGCAGACAGGAGCCAGCGGAAGGGCCCGGAACGGCAGACAGGAAGTTCAGAAACGTCAGGCCGGGCCGTGCCCAGGAGGGCACTAAGGCAGGACTGGGCCCCTCCACGCCGGGCGGTCCCTCCGATGGCTCCCCCTCCTCTGCGGGAATTACTTGGCGAGGGCTGGTGGGCGCCGGGCCCCGCCTCAGGTCCCCCTCCAGGCGAAGGCGTCGTCGGCCAGCACCTGCGCCAGCCTGGCATTGAAGGGGCCGTAGAAGTCCCGCAGGATGCGTTGCGTGACGGGCCACATGGGGCCCAGGCTGCGGTCCTCTGGCCGCCGCACGTTGGACGCCGGGCTCTTGGTCATCAGGGCCTCCTGCTTCTCACTCAGGGGCCCTGTAGGAGAGGCCGAGCTGTGAGGCAGGTGTGCCCAGCCCGCCCACACCCGTGCCTGGGGCCTTCCCGGAGGGGACACGGCTTGGCTGGGCCCTGCAGGGAGGGGGGACAGGGCTGGCGGGGGTCACGGGCCCCTCGGGGCTCCCTTCCCACTGTCCAGGCCCCAAGACTGAGCCTCTTGCTCAGCAGAGGTGGGAAACAGCCAGAGGCTGCCCCCAAACTCTCATCCGGGGCCCTCTTGCGCACACAGGGCAGCTGGGGGGCCCCCGGGAACAAGGCCCAGGAGTTGCTCAGGGCCCCGGCGGAGCAAGTCGGTGGCCTCCAGGGACTGAGCCCCGGGGGAGCCATGGCCCCAGGGCCTGCCAAGAAGCTGCGGGTGTCCCAGGCCTCCAGGGGGCACCAGACACACACTCCAGCCACGGGCACAGCAGGACACCCTGGGGACAGGTGACCCCTCCCCAGGGCCCCCCAAGCACAGCCCACAGTCCTGCCGCCCTCCCAAGTGGCCTTCCCTCGGACAAGCCCCGTGGCCGACCCGGGTTCGATCCCCGGAACCCCAGAGGGGTAGTGCTGAACCAGGAGTGAGCACGGAGGGTGGGTGGGTCTCCGAGAGAAAGAGCCCCTCTGGGCCTGCTCGCTCCCCGTCCCCCCCACCCCATCCCCACCCAGGCTCCCTGCCCCGCCCCGCCCCCGCCTACCGAGGCTGAGGAAGCGGAAGACCCTGTGCATGGTGTCCCTGACGTTGGTGGCGTGGTCCTCCAGTCGCAGCACCAGGAACTGCTCCTTCCGGAAGACCGTGAGCCAGTCGAGCAGGTACACGACGTACAAGCCCACCTGCAGCCTCACCTGCGCCGGGAGCCCGTGTGAGCGGGGGCGGCCCACCAGGGACACACCCACCCCCCACACACTCCATCCCAGCAGGCGGCAAGGTCAAACCAAGATCAGGGTTGCAGGCATCCTGGGAACCTGTGCTTGCTCCCATGTCTCACCAAGGCCCCGGGGCAGGACACAGGAGAGGGGTGGGGTGGGGGGTCACAGCAGGAAGTCCCGCCTTCCCACAAATGCCCTCCGGCCAGCACAGGCCGGGCCCACCTGGGTCTGGACACTATCCTCTGCTGCTGGGGCATGCCCTAGAGGCCCCTGAGGAGTTCTGGGGGCCACACACGCCGCCCCAGGGCTGAGCATCTGCCCTGCCCAGTCCTCATGTCCGCACCCTCTCCTGGGACCACACGGGCTGCACCCCGGGACACAACAGGGCGGGGACTCCGGTCATTGTGGCTATAGTACTGGCAGGTGGGGAGACCCCAAGAAACTTGGGATGCAGCTGCCCACCCTGGGCTGACGCCAAGCTTGGGGTTCCCCAACTGTACATGGTGTCAGAGAGAGACAGAAAGAGACAGAAACAAAGACAGAGAGACAGAGAGAGACAAAGAGACAGAGAGACACAGAGAGAGACATTCACAGAGAGACAGAGAGAGACAGAGAGAGAGACACACAGAGAGACAGAGAGAGAGAGACAAAGAGACAGAGAGACACAGGGAGAGCGTGCAGTCCTGGGACCCGGGGGGATACGGCACAGTGCCTGCAGGAACAGCCGTGCCCTTGTTCAGCCCTGGAACCCTCTGCCCCATACAGGCCCTCGGACCCCACTTCCTCTCCTGTCCAGGCACTGGCACCCGCCCCCCAGACTTCAGGCCTGTCCCCACATGCCCAGGTGTGTCACCCCCTGACACCCCCCCTGCTAGGGAAGCTCCTGGGGTCAGCCCCCAGCACTGGCCACAGCAGAGAAAGATGATGGCATGGGCCCATTAGCTGCGCGTCTGCCCATTCTGGGGGCTGGGTCACCCCCCACATACCCAGGACACAGGGTGCCCCCCTGGGCCTCTGGCTCCCCCTCACCTCACTGCCCTAGACAGACCCCAGTCTGGTTCTGACCCTGTCCCGGGCGGGCCAGCTGTGGCCACATGGGCAGCACCACAGCAAGGCCAGGCCCAGCTGAGCAGCCACCTATGGAGCAGGTGTGGGCAGGTGTGAGTGGGTGTGAGTGGGCGTGAGCAGGTGGGAGCAGGTGTGAACAAATGTGAGTGGGTGTGAGTGTGTGCGAGGGGGTGTGAGCGGGTGTGAACTGGTGTGAGTGGGTGTGAGCAGATGTGAGTGGTTGTAAGTGTGTGAGCGGGTGGGATTTGGTGTGAGCAGGTGTGAGCTGGTATGAGTGGTTGTGAGTGGGTGTGAGCTGGTGTGAGTGCATGGAAGTAGGTGGGATATCGGGTGTGAGCGGGTGGGAGTGGGTGGGAGCAGATGTGAGTGAGTGTGAGCAGGTGGGAGTGGGTGTGAGCGGGTGTGAGCTGGTGTGTGTGGGTGTGAGTACATGGGAGTAGGTTGGAGCAGGTGCGAGTGGGTGCAAGCAGGTGCAAGTGGGTGTGAGCAGGTGTGAGCAGATGTGAGTGGGTGTTAGCGGGTGTGAGTATGAGCAGATGTGAGCGGGTGTGAGCAGGTGTGAAAGGGTGCGAGTGGGTGTGAGTGGGTGTGAGCAGGTGTGAGCGGGTGTGAGTGGGTGTGAGTCGGTGTGAACTGGTGTAAGCGGGTGTGAGCAGGTGTGAGCAGATGTGAGTGGGTGTTAGTGGGTGTGAGTATGAGCAGATGTGAGCGGGTGTGAGCAGGTGCGAAAGGGTGCAAGTGGGTGTGAGCAGGTCTGAGTGGGTGTGAGCTGGTGTGAGCGGGTGTGAGCAGGTGTGAGCAGGTATGAGTGGGTATGAGGAGGTGGGAGCAGGTGTGAGTGTGTGTGAGCAGGTGTGAGCTGGTGAGTGCATGGGAGCAGATGGGAGTGGGGATGAGTGGGATGGAGCCCGTGGGAGCAGATGTGAGCCAGTGTGAGCAGGTGCAAATGGGTGCGAGCAGGTGTGAGCGGGTGTGGGTGGAGCTTTCCAGCTCATTGTTTTTCTAACTGGGCAGATGCAAGACAGATAAGCTCGTGGCGAGAAACTGTCTCAACCGCCCGGGCAGTCACTGCTGTCTCAGGTTTGTCTGATTGTGCGGCCCTCCAGCTGGGCCCCAGTCGAGAGGATGGCCCCCACCCCAAATCTACAGACTGCAGCCCCCATCGAGGGTCTGTGAGGTCCTGCTGGGGTCCTCGGCTCGCACTGAGGATGCCCTGGCCAGACTGGCCAGAGCCACCTCCCCTGGGGAGCCTCCTTTTGATCCTGGAGAACTTTCTAGAAGGTGAGGAGCTGGTGATGGGGGGGGGGGTGTGGCTAGGGAGATGACATGGCCGCAGCCGGCTTTGATGAAGCCAGACCAGCTCAGGGGGACAGATGCTCCTCTCCAGTCTACAGTGTGGGGAAAGAGCCCCTAAGGCACAATCTTCCTCACAGGGGCCCGGGGAGGCTCCGGACCCCCATGACTCGCCCACAGAGCACGGAGGAGCTGCTGATGGTGCTCCCTGTGGCATCAGCCCAGCGCGCAGTGCGGTGAAGACCACCCCTCAACCGAGAGGGCTGAAGTCGCCCTTAACTGCATGCACGAGGGCAGAATCTGGGGGCCCTAAGCTCAGGAGGACAAGGGGGTCTGGGCCCCTTGCCCCTCAGTGCTCAGAGGCAATTCCAGGCTTCATACTAGGGTGATCCCTGGCGGTGCTCACAGGTGGTGCCCGAGACGGAACGGGGCGGCTGCCTGCCAGGTGAGTGCCTCAGCCCTGCCCCATCCGGCCTCCGCTCTATTCTTGAAAGGCAAGAATCAAGGAAAACGGGGGCCCCTCCCCCCCAACAAGCCCTCCTGAGGAAGCACTGGGCGTCGCTGGGGAGCCCAGTTTGCAACCAGCCCCCTGGGGAAAGGGCACTTGGAGCTCTCGGAGCACTGGACGGGCCCCGGCTGCAGATTCTGATTGCTGGGTATATTTCAGGCTCTCCTCTGGGAGAGGGGAGGGAGCACTGTAACTGGGAGCAGCCACAGGCGGGGACAGGGAAGGGGAGCCTGTGGCAGGGGCCCCCATGGTCTCGAGGTTTGCACAGAGCGGAGCGGGGTGGGGGGACGGGCACAGACGCCTTCGCGCTCACCGGCATGGCGTTGCTCAGGCAGTTGTTGTAGGCGCAGGCGCGCAGCGAGGAGTCCAGCACGCAGGTCTCGAACAGCTGCAGCGCCTCCGTCACCTTGTCGTGGAAGTCGTCCGCCGATTTGTTGGAGCTCGCGAAGTAGAGATAGTCCGAGTACAGCCTGGAGGGAGACACGCGAGATTCGCACGGCCGCGCAAGGGCCACGCGGGGAACAGGGACGCGCTCGGGGAGAGCACACGCACACATGCACACACGCATACACACATGCACACACATGCGCACACACACGTGCGCACGTACACACACATGCACGCGCACACACACTCATACACACGCAAACACACGCATGCACACACATGCAAACACATGCACACAGATGCACAGATGCACATGCACACACACGCACATACATAGGCATGCACACACGCATACACATATACACACGCACACACATACACACATGCGCGCGCACATGCACACACTTATACACACGCCAACACACACATGCACACACATACAAACACACACATGCACACAGATGCACAGATACGCACATGCACACACACGCACATACACAGGCATGCACACACGCATACACATATACATACACACATGCACGCACATGCACACACTTATACACACGCCAACACACACATGCACACACAGACAAACACACACATGCACACAGATGCACAGATACGCACATGCACACACACGCACATACACAGGCATGCACACACGCATACACATATACACACATACACACATGCACGCACATGCACACTTATACACACGCCAACACACACATGCACACACATACAAACACACATGCACACAGATGCACAGATACGCACATACATAGGCATGCACACACACATACACATATACACACGCGTGCACACATGCACACACTTATACACACACCAACACACACATGCACACACATGCAAACACACACAAACACACATGCACACCACACAGATGCACAGATACGCACATACACAGGCATGCACACATGCATACACACGCACATACATACACATGCACATACACAGGTATGCATGCACACATACACACATACACACGCACATGCACACACATGCACACACATGCACGCACACACATGTGCACTCTCAGCATAAGCGCTCTTCACCCAGCGTGCACAAACATGTACACACACACACGCACACATGCACACACACACACGCTCTTGGCACGCGTGCTCTCCCCCCGCCCCCAGCACACACAGGCACTCTCAGCATGTGCACTCCACCCAGACGTGCTCTCAGCACTGCAGATGAGCTGCCCCCCGGCCCCTCCTGGCCTACCCAGGACCACCAGGCTCTCCAGGACCCGGGCAGGTCCACGCCGGCCCCCGACACGCCAGCAAAGCCCGCTCTGTATTCCCGGGAGCCTGGAAGCCACCGCGGGTGGCAGGCACACACTGCCGGGTGTGCAGGGACTGCAGCATCTTCCCGTTCCCGTCCCTCGCTATGTGGCTGCGGCCCTCCCACCCTGGTCAGCTCGGGCCTCGAGCCCGGAAGCCCACCGTGCGTCTGTCTAGAACAGCAGGAAACGCCCCGCAGATGCTCTGAACCCCAGGGCCCCTCCCTGGCCCACAGAGGCCTCAGCACGCAGAGTCCCCGGCCCGGGAATGACGCATCAAGTCTCGACTGATTCCTCTACCCTGGCCCCGCCCAGGCACCATCAGCGTCCCCGGGAATCCTCCTCCTGGGTTGGCCCCATCCCACCTCTCAACGGTGGGTGGAGAGGGGAAGGGGGCCGGCCCGGGTGTGACCCCCGGGGGCACTGCTGAGCATTCGGCAGGAACCGTCCAAGCCCTGAGTACAGCCAGAGAGGCCCCACACGAAAGAGTGGAGGGATGGAGCTCACCATTGCTCCACCCAGCCCTCCGCCCCACAAGCTTTCCTCCGCTGTTCCGCCCGTTTTCCACCCTCTGCCCTCCTTCTCTCCCCGACACCCCTTCCCAGGGGCCGCTACCCTGCGACCAGCCCCAGCAGCCTCTGCCCTGTACCGGGAGCAGGCCGGCATGTGGTGCCACTCAGTTCCTGCACAGTCACTGCGTTAGCAACCAGCCTGATAGCCCCCCTCAGGATTCCTTGTCCACCTCAAACGCTGTTTCCAACCCTGGCCCAGGTGGCAGGGCCTTATTTGGAAACTGCAGCCGCAGTGAGAGCACCTCAGGGCAGGCCACAGCCCAATATCTAGGGTCCCCAGAAGACAGGCAGGGGCCGCAGACACACAGGAAGGGCACGGGACAGCCCAAACCAAGGAAGGCCGAGGGTCGCAGAAGCCACCAGGAGCCAGAAGAGATGCCCACAGCAGTCTCTGCCCCCACAGCCCTAGAGGAAGCCCCTTCCTGACCCTGATGAGGGGAGAAACTTGGCTTGTTCCAAGTACCAAGTTTGTGGCCATTTGTTACAAGCACCCTAGGAGCCAAACCTACGAGCCCAAATCCCAGAAGGCTGAGCTGGTCTCTGGCCACTCCCACCCGAGGGCCCGGCAAGAGGCAGGACAGCAGGGCAGGTTGGGGTGGGGCAGCTTGCCCACGGGGTTCCACAGAGACCACAGGAAACACTGAGACCACAGAGACCACAGGGACCACGGAGACCACGGAAACCACAGAGACCACGGAAAACTACAGGGGCCACAGAGACCATGGAAACCACAGAGACCACGGAAAACCACAGGGACCACAGAGACCACGGAGACCACAGAGACCACAGGGACCACAGAGATCACACAGACCACAGAGGCCACTGAGATCACGGAAACCACAGAGACCACAGATACCACAGAGACCACAGGGAAACATGGAGATCACAGAGACCAGAGGGAAACATGGAGACTCCAGAGACTATGGAGACCACAGAGACCACCAGGTATGTCCATGGGGTCACCTGTGGGCTGGAGAACGTGCCAATGTCTCGGGCACCCCGAGATCTCCCACTGTCTTGCAGTAGGTCATGCTCACCATGCACAGGGCTGTGAGCCGGCAGCCCAGAACAGGGAGGGAAAGTCTCGAGGAGATGGTGTCACAGCGGGTGGCACTGATGTCACAGTGGTGACACTGATGATGTCACAGCGGGTGACACGGATGTCACAGAGGGTGACTGATGACATCATAGTGGACGATACTGATGACGTCACAGTGAGGCTGATAATCATACCACACGGGGTGATGCTGATGACCATGTGACATGCCTGTCCCAGAGGGGACCTACGGGCCAGGCCAGCAGGGTCCACACGAAGCCAAGTCAGGTTTCTGTTCCACACACCCCCAAGTCCCCTTCCGGGGACAGGGGTATCCCGGAGGCAGCCCCAAACCTCCCCTGACTACGGGCCAGCACAAATGACTGTCTCACCAGGGCCGCACCTGGGTCAAGCTTGAGGCAGACAGGAACCTGCCAGCAGCTTCCTCAGGGACAGGGCCAGGCCGGTATCCCAGGACAGGGTGGACAGCAGGGCCTCCCCTGGACTCTCCGACTCCCTCACCAGGGAGTCCCTGGGCCTCCCTGGTGCCCGCAGCGGGCACCTCTCTGTCCCCCACCCCACGGCTTGCCCCGCTCAGCCGGCTTTTCCCCTGCCCCAGGGAGCCGCCCTGGGCAAACAGTCCCTGTGGACACAGGTTGGCCAGCACCTCTGCAGTGTCCGCAGAACCAACAGTGTGAACGGGGGGTGTCTCTGCCGAGCGAGCGATCTGTGGTCCCCGGCTGGACAGTCCCGAGGACAGTGCCAGACACCTCACAAAGGCCCGAGCTGTCCTGCGGCCCTGTGCGGTCTGGGCCACACCCGCCCCTGGGAAAGGGACCTCAGGCCACCCTCACGATGCCAGAGCGGACAGTCCACACTCAGCCTCCAGAGCCCCGCCCAGGACAACAGGAACTAACCCCCCACACACACAGGGGAAAGGAGAGATGGGACTTCTGATGCTGGATCCATGTGGATCAACCTCCGAGTGCCACGGCGTCCTCCATCCCTCTGCACCCAGGGCCTTCTCCAGCCACCCCTGGTGCTCAGTCACCCCTATATGGGGGTGAGGGGCTAAGCTCCCTCACTCTGACCTGGTTCTGGGGAAGGAGCTGACCCCTGTGAGGGCAGCGCTCCTGGGCTTCCGCTGGCGGAAGGCACTGAGTGGACGAGCCTGGAGGAGGGGGCAGGAGAGTGGGCAGGGGGACTGGGCAGGGCTGAGTAGGGCAGGGGGGGCTGGCCTAGGGCCTGGGCGGGGCCTGGCTGGAGAGCGGCCTGCGGGTTCCTCACATGGGGCCAGGTGGGGGTCGCTCAGGGCCGGGGCACATGCTCTGTTGTGGGGTCCCTGGCTTCTGTTCCCGGCACCACAAAGAAACTGGGGACCCTGAGTCTCAGGAGCGGTCAGCTCAGGTGGCTGCCGGACGCCCGGGCTGGCCTTTCACTCCGTCTGGTCTCACCGAACCTCACAGGAGTCCTGCATGGATGTGTTCAGTCCTGCCAGGAAACCCGCCCCCGAGGCGTCACCTCTGCAGGACAGTCCTGGTCAGCGGCTATGGGTGGGAGAGGTCAGTAAGCGTCTTGGGAGGCTCCCCAGCCCTCCTGCTCCAGGGCCCTGAGCCCCTCCAGGGAGTGCCCCAAAGCCAAACCTGCAATGAGGAGAAATCGACTTAGATGCCAACCCACAGGGGGTGAAAAGGACCCCTCAGCGAGACCAGGATCCAGTCCCAGTCTGGTCACTTAGTAAGCAGGTGACCAGGAGAGGCCATGTGCCTCCCCTGAGGCCCATCACTGAGCCTGCCTGCAAGGGTCAACGGTGGCGCTGACCACAAAGGGCTCAGGCCCACGCCAGGCTGGAGGAGAGGCCAGTGAAAGGGCCAGTGTCCACTCCTCGCGGGCAGACAGGTAGATAGTATTTGCTATCCCAAGACCCCAAAGTGCCCATTAATATTTGCCTGAGTCCAGCATAGTCCAAACACATTCATGGAGGGGTTGGAGTGATAGTACAGTGGGGAGGGCTTTGCTTTGCATGTGGCCAACCCGGGTTCGAATCCCAGCATCCCATAGGGTCCCCCAAGCACCACCAGGAGTCATTCCTGAGTGCAGAGCCAGGAGTAACCCCTGAGCATCGCCAGATGTGAGCCAAAAAGCAAAAAAAAAAAAAAAAAAAAA